TCTCAGGCCTCCACCTTTCAACCAGTATAGTAATCAACCCATGGTCAATCTGTCATGACAAAAAAAAAATAAAGTAAAAAACATTTAAAGGTCCTTATTATTGCTAACATGTATACAACAAGTATAAATTCATAACTGAAACATACCGGTAGTCGTCTCATGCGACCCGCATGCCAGAAACCTGCACGCATCAAATGCTGTTGCAAGTCCAGGGGAATATCATCAGGGTTATGCACGTCTCTGATGCCCCTACCCTCTGAGGCTTGTCTCACTCTAAGAGACTTCAAATGTCTGTCGTTCCACACGACTTGGGACCTGTGAGATAGCTGCACATCTTCATCCAATACACCCCACTCTTTTGGACCGGGGTCAATGCAAGGTCCATGACTAGCCATTTAACTAACAAAAATTTACAAAATTTATCAATAATCATAGGGACTATATAATTAAAACAATAATTGCATTGATTATTTAATCAAATTTAACATCAAATTTTATTACTATTAATTAAAACACTAATTACTATTACGACATAATAATTAGATTAATGGTTTGTCCTAAAGCATTTTGTATAGAAATTAATTATTTGACAAATTTATTTTTTATGCCAACGATTTCCCAATATTGTATTATTAATCAATTAGTTTGGATAAAGGATTAAATAACATCATTAATATTGAACAAAATTTTAAATTATAATGACTATTCAATTATTTAATTTATAACTAAAAATTAATAATTTAACTTAATATGTCAAATTGTTAGGGTTTCATTTACTAAGCTTACATCTGTAACTATATAATAGTCAAAACAATTGTTACGAGTTTAATAATTACTAATTAACGTTATTATAAATATAATAAATCAAAATTACGATTAAAGATTAATGTTTACACTTTTCAACATTTATTACTTATTTTTCTTACAAGTAAGTTTTATAGCATTGTAAATCACAATTCGATTACTATTAATGAAAACACTATTTAAAATTACAACATCATAATTACTCTAAAGGCGAATCCATGAACTCCTTAATGATCCTTTTATCGTGCACATGTTACCGAGTTTTAAAGAAGTCATTCGAGTTCCATCTGTTTTTTACGAACAACTATTCCCTTACAAAGATGATGAATCCTTTTGACTTTGTACTCATGCCCAAGTCATGCCTAAAATTATATTGTTCTCCCCATATTTTAGGCAGATAAAGTTGTATAGTCAAAGTACAACCCTTGGATATGTATTTGATGACAACCTTAAGTCTAATAATTATAATGACCCTAACTGGTAAATCTTAGTTAGAGATTTAATTTAAGGATTTAAATGCCATAATTAGATTCAGTGAGTGATTTCGAGTATTTTGACTGTAATCATGACTATGTTATGAATAGTGCGTTCTGCCGGAGAATTTACAGTTTTGTGAATTAACCGGTAGAGCTTAAATGAGCAAAATAATTTTAGGAACATAATTTGAAAATTCTGAAGACAAATATGAGTTCAGAACGAAAAATTGTATAGTCTGGCACTTTCCGTGAAAATCTCGTGAATAGTGTTTCTACCGGGTATTTTGTACTGCTGTTTAAGCAACCGGTAGAGCCCAGAAACAAATAATTGATGAAATAAGAATAATAAAGTCCAATATATGCCAAGCAAGTCAATATAGGCCCAAGAAAATGATAAGTTTATAAGTTTAAGTTTCATAAGTAAATGAAGTACAATTAGTGATTCACAGTGCATTTCGTCAAAAACGGTGCAAAAATCATACTGTGAATTATGAATATATTTTTGTAAGAATTAAAAAGTAATATAAATGATTTTAGAAAAATAAAAATATATTTGTAGCTTTGAGTTAGTTCCGGGTTAGTTTAAGTGAAAATACGCGAAAGAAAAATACCCGGGTAAAAGGCCACATATGCTCACCTTCTTAAGTCACTTAAGTCTCATTTCCAAATCAGTTTCTCTCTCCTCTCCTCACTCTCAAAACCGAGCTGCAGCCATGGGGGAAGGGTTTGGGGTTGTCTTCTTCCTTCTTTGATTTCTCCATGGTTAAGCCACCAAATCTTCCACCCAATATACCAATCTCATAGGAAATCGTCCAAGGAAGCTATTCCACCCTTCCATTTGAGCTGATTTCGTTTGTGGAGGGAGATATTCATCACTCCATTTTCGGATTACTATTCATCCAAGGTGAAAAAGGGGGTTTTTGGTGGAGTCTTGCTTGTTGGTCACCTTCTAGACCTTGTATAAGCTTTTGGAGGTAATGAACCTCTATTTCCATGGTATTATTTTGATGATTTGAGTTATAAAAGTTATGAGTATGTTTTGGTAGGAAAGCATTGTGTATTAAACTTTGATTTAATGATGAATCTTTGATGTCTTGGATTTAAGAAATGAAAATAAGCATTTGTATGTATGTAAAAAAAAAAAATTAGAAAAAAATCCTATGCTTTCCTCTACATGTTCGGCCATCATAGGTGAAGAGTAGGTTGTTGTGCAAAAATTTTATCTTAAGTATTAAGAAGGTTTAATGTGTAGGAATTAAGTGGAAATTTGATAAATTACTGAGAATGCCAAAGTGGGAAAAATTATATGAAATATGCCCTTAGGTTTAGGCCTTGTGGGGCTTTGGAGGGACTTTATGCTCCAAAAATTAAGTTGGAACCTTAAGAAAACATGTATTTGTATGTGTAAGTTACATGTAAGTGAAGAAAAAGAACCTTTGTCTATGTCCTTGTAGTGTTCGACCTAGAGGGTGGTATAGGGGTATATTTTGTTACATTTTATTGTAAATAAAATGTGTTGTAATTCATTGTATAAAATTGATGAGTTAAGAAGTGAAATGACTTGAAAAATGGTTGAAAAATACTTTGATTTCCTAAGGGTATGTCCGCGGCTTTTGAAGTAAAATGGCATGAATGATATTGAAAATTCTCAAGTGAATACTTGATTAAAATGAAAGAATGCTAACGAGTATAAGGTGGTCTAGACTTGCGTATTGGCATAACATTGGCAAAAGTATAAAGAAAGGAAGATACGCGATAAAATGTATGCCTTATGGAAAGTCTAGGCATGATAGCATTTTATTGATTTGTATTTGTGGATTCTTGCTCTAGGTGCACCTAGGGACTAAAAAGGATCGGAATCTCTTGAAGACATATAAGTAACTTGTGCAACAAGTAAGCGTATTGGTAAAGCTTCAAGAGGTAAGCTCTATGTTTAAGGAGTCTTTTCCTGCTTGAGTGCTCCACCATGGTTAGTGAACTATGGTTGGACTGTATGACTGTGATTTAGATGCTTTGTATAGATGCATTCATATAGAGTTATTTGATAACATGATATGTTTTGCTCTGATATGACTTCTGTAATATGATTTCTGTAACAATCTCTTGCCATTGATTGTATAGTACCCGGACGTCCGCTTTGGGGTCCTCCCTCGAGACTGATGGTGTACGCCTCTGATATGTCTGGTTCCGCTTTGGGGTCCTCCCTCGGGAACACGTGCGTTGATTTTCGCTTGGGGTCCTCCCTTGGGAATGACGACGCACATCTCTGATATGATATGGATATATGCTCTGTTCTGTTATGATATCTGTTATATGTTGTATTCGTATACTTTGTATCTGACTTTCATGCAGGAGTGAGCCAGGGGTATGGAGAATTCTCTATAAACCTGGAGCTTATTGAGATTTGTAATCTCACCCCTCTTTGGGGACATATTTTCAGGTGCCCAGACTCCCGGTGAGTCCTCACTAGGCAGGGACACGACACGTGGCTGAGGCAGTTGACAGATCGGATTTTGAGTGGCTGTAGGCTACTACCTTTTTGGAGTGTTTGATGTATTTTAGTATTTTCGCATTTGATGGATCATGATATTGATCCTTTATTGTGTATATGGCCTGTGCCTTACATTACCATTAAATAGCTTGATATCGTGCTAGTTTAATGAAGCCACCGATACTTTATCTTGGTGACCCAAAACCAGGAACAAGTTCAGATAATAATCACATAATGCATATAAGTCCTTGATCACATAGTGCATATGAGTCCTCACAATCATTATCTCATCATAGATCATCGAATGTTCACCTTGATTTTCGCAAGGACCTTTATTTATTCAAACATACAAATAAAGAGAGACAATAATATGAAATAGATAAAATAATATCTGATATTATTCATGAAAATATCAAAATACATAATATAATATCATCCAACCACTTAGATTGTCTTTATGACGCTTATATTAACAAGCACCACCTCAACAACCGACAACAAACCAAGTTAGTCTTCTAGTCGTCTTCCTTTGTTGAGCCTAGCTACCTGGAAAAATAAATTTCATAGTTGGAATGAAATAAACTATCATATTCTCAACATTCTAAATAATAATATTTCAGTCCATTTCATTTTATTTTATCTATTTTCACTAAGAAAAAATCATTTTAGTGTTTAAAAATATTTTAATGCTTAATGTTTTTATTTAGTAATCAAGAAGATTATCAGAATGATGGGCTTGAAAAAATTAGAATTGTTTATTTAGTTAATATTTTTATCTATTGCACCTAGAAACAAGTGAAGGATCTGATGGGCTTGAGGTTTAGAGAAAAGGATTCAAAGCCCAATTTTTTGGCATTTGACCCTTGAGCTCCCATTTTCAGAAACCGCGCAAAAAATGAAAATCAATTTCCTTTTCTTGTTTTTTTTTTTCCTCTCCCCTTCAAGGATACATCGATCCGTGTCACCCCGTTTAATTCAATCTCAACCTTCCATCATAATCAGATGAACGATTGTCATTCAACACTAGCTATTCCTCCACACTCCACGTCACCGATCCGCGTGATGCCACAACTACAAACAAACGACACCCGCCCATTCCCTCCTAAAGGATTCAACGGTTACGATCATCATCTACTCATCTCTCTTATGCTTCGCGCACAAACCCCAATTCAAACCTCACGGTATAAATAACCACATCCAATCACTAACTATTATAACTCTCACGAGAAGAAAAGAAAAGAAAAGAAATCAATTTATTTTTTTCTCTAAAACCTTCTCTTTCGGTCAAATTATTAGATTCCGGTGACCGGCAATGGCTCGCACCAAGCAGACCGCTCGCAAGTCCACCGGCGGCAAGGCACCGAGGAAGCAACTGGCGACGAAGGCTGCTAGGAAATCTGCTCCGGCCACCGGCGGCGTGAAAAAGCCACACCGTTTCAGGCCGGGGACTGTGGCGCTCCGAGAGATCCGAAAGTACCAGAAGAGCACGGAGCTTCTGATCCGTAAGCTTCCGTTCCAGCGACTGGTCCGCGAAATTGCGCAGGACTTCAAGACTGATCTTCGGTTCCAGAGCACCGCCGTGGCGGCGCTCCAGGAGGCCGCGGAAGCTTACCTGGTTGGTCTTTTCGAGGACACTAACCTCTGCGCCATTCACGCGAAGCGCGTTACCATCATGCCAAAGGATATTCAGCTCGCGAGGCGCATTAGGGGCGAGCGCGCTTAAGCTTGAGTTTGTGTGTAGATAATGACTAGTTTTGTTAGTCCTCAAACGTTGATGTGATCTTATTTCAATGGTTTTGTTGGATTGAACTGGTGTAAGCGCTTTATTAATGAAATTATTACTCTTGTTCTTCAATCACTGCCTTGTTCTGTTTCAAGTGCTATTTGTATGATTCTAATTTTTAGACAGTGCTTATTTTTTTGAACGTGCGTCTCACAAAAGCATTAACAGAATTTGAAGGAAATATCATATTTCAATAAAGATGTGACGTATAAATATAATATTTTTATTTGGGACATTATTCAGATACCACTACCGATACGAATAAAGCAATATTTCGAAGCTATTGTTTTTCAAAAGCAATCTTTTTCCTTTGTTCATCTTTACATAGTCACGCTTGGGAACTTGCAAGAAGGTCGACCTGTTATAAGAAAACAATATCATCAAAACTGTAATTAGAACATGAGTGTAGAAAGTATAAGATGAAAATGAAAGGAAGCGAAGTGATGAAGATAGGTTTGTGTTGAAGTGAAAACTCACTGGGATCTGTAGTTGTCTGCTCTGCAAGTCCATTGAAATAGCATGTGGCTCCTTGACTTCTAAACTTAGCCCAGTAAGTGGTAAACACGTAATTTGCATGATCAGTGACCGAAACTGGCTCATAGCATTCTTTTCCTGGTGCAAGTGCTTCACAATTAACATTCTCTTCGTTGCAGGCATAGGACAAAGCTGCTGCCAATTCCATTTGGTTTGCTTCTCTTGCTGCCACACACCACACTTTCCCTTTGTAAGGTACATTGTTCTCTGGAGCTGGTAATGGTGCAAAATCTGTCAAAGGTTGCTTTCCTGTTAAGTCAATATCATAAATTAGAGTCCCATCCGGGTGCAAGAAGCCCCAATGTCTTTCTGTTCCTGGACCAGTCTTTTGGTTTTCATCAAACAGTGAAAAGATGAAGGTGGTTATTGCAACCCCAGGTCTAGCTGGGGTCCCAATGGGTGGTTTTGTTGTCATTCTTTGGATGAGATTGCGATTGTATGTAGCTGCATTGTATATGTTTGCTCCAGGTTCTTCTATGTCACCAGAGTTCGGCCATCCTGTTTCAGATATAACGAGCTGGATGTTGGAGTAGCCGAGTTTAGACATTGCAAAGATAAGGGAGTCAAGCATTTGGTCTAACAAATTGGTGTAGACTAAGCCACTACCAGGGTCACTTATGCTGAAATTTCCCCTGAACAGAGCAAAGTCAAGGCTAATATTGTAGGGGTCCTGTGACCATGGGAAATATGGGTATGCATCAATGAAGAAAAATGAGTTTGTTTTGTCTAAGAACTTAAGCAATGGTACTATCACACTGTCTATTATGTCAGATCGGAATCTCCCACTTGAAGGTGGGAAAGTTGATTGTAAGACATCCATCGCCAATGGGGTGCCAATTTTGATGCCTCTGATATTCTGAGCTTTGAGAGATCTTCTGATGCTTCGCATTGCTGGAACAAGATCATGCCACATTTGGTGGCCTTGTTCTGAATTGTAGCTTAGCACCTCATTGCCTACAAGTAGGAAGCGAATCATGGTTTTGGGGTAGTAGGGGAGGACATTGTTCCTCACCCATTCATCTGCTATGCTTTGGTTGGTAGCAATGCCTGAGATTTCATTGTTTGGGATCATGATGGAAACTTTGAGCTTGGTTGTTGATAAAAGCCTTAAAATTTCGGGGTTGGCATCATACAGCTTCACACGGCCAGCGTCCATTGTTGTTAGTAACTCAATGGACCTATATGGAGAGGGAAGATTGTTCCCAAGTTGGCCATAGTTCACACCAATACTGCTTAAGGCTTTCGCTCCTGTACAATAGGGAAAATTGATGTTATATAGTTTAGAAAGTATGATACTGCAGCAGAAAAGGAATGTGTATATATCTATATCTTTCGAACTTACTTGATAATGAAAGTAAACAGACGAGAAATATAGCCAGAGGACCCATTTCTCCAACTTTTATGCTAGGCCTCCCAACAGTTGCAATAATGGTTAAGGAATTAGAGTGAGGTAAAGAGAATATTAGCAGTATCAATTTATACATGAAATGAAGACTCGTAGCAAGAAATCATATATCTCTAGCAAAAGGATCTTCGTGAGTGTATACAAGACTCGTCGGAAAGGAATGAAGAGTTTCAACACATAGATAAATGATTAAACTAGTTGTAAAAGGCAAGGGTGTGCTTTCTTTGCTTCTTGCTTTGATCTGTTTTCCAATCTATTTTATTGCAAGAAATGCAGTTACGTTAGTCACAAACTTTAGAAGGGGAAAGAAGCCACAGAAGTATGAAAATCAGACTAATGAAATGGTGTCACGTATCTCTTGTGAAATAAGACAAACTGTTGCGACAATTTGAGAGTAGCCTCCTTCTAGATCTCGACACGGCCATAGATTGTTTTTACTTACATAGTGAAATTCAACTCTCCAATAGCTCCTTCTTCATTACTTGGATAACCGATAAACTGCTTGACTGAAAGCATTTCATGACAGTCGCGTATTGTGTCTCGTTGGAGAAATTATTCAGGGTGTAATACGCTAATTCATCAATATTGTTGTACTCCCACGTTTTCTAACTTGGTTTTAAGAAATCAAATTTTAAAAATAATAAAAAGTGAGCTACGAATTTATATGAAGGGATTATTATTAATGAAAATGGCGAATTGCATTTAATTAGAGGGTAAATTGGCTAGGATAGATTTTGCTCTAAATATGTGAGAGTTGTGAAGAATGATTTTAGCTATGCCTATTACGTTAAATTATAGGTGCAACTTGTCCTATTCTTTAAAAAATTTAAGGTCTAACATGTAGCTGTTACTCTATTTAAGTTTATCATGCCTTTTTTTTTTTTTTGGTAAGCAGTTTATCATGCCTTTTAAACCTATTAAGAATTACAAAAAATAACTAAAATAATTTTATTTCATTTAAAATAAATAATATGTTATAAGCCAACTTGTGAACTTATATAGATCAAATCTTGTAGAAGTATACATATGACATGTTTATATATATAGGTAGGATCATTTGATACCAGTGTCAAATTTAAATTTGACACCTCATCTGAGAGTCGTTAGATAAAAAAAGATCAATGGTGTCACATGCTTACAAATCAGAGTCGTTGATCTTTTTTGATCTAACAGCTCTTAGATGAGGTGTCAAATTTCAAATATTTGACACTGGTGTCAAATGATCCTACCTCACACACACACACACACACACACACATATATATATAGGGGTTTACATTTATGCAACTGCTGTACGTGCAACAATCAAATACTTGCCATATATATACTTTAAAATATTAAATGCAAGGAATCATAACCATACAAAGGATGAAAACATTAAATGTGGGGAATCATAACCATACACCTGTCGTTGCTGTACGTAAAGCGGCTGCAGAAATGATTTTACCATATATATATATATATAGGGAAATAGTTATCATATATCACATAAGATAGTTCTCTTACGTTGCACACTCATAAAATCTTATACTTATTTTTTCTTTTCTTTTCTTCTTTTTTTAAAAATTATGGGCTCCACAACTTTGTTTCACTCACATAAGATATGTATCTTATGTGACATAAGATTAATAGCTCCCATATATATATAGGGTTTTATATTTCTGCAACTGCTGTACGTGCAACAGTCAAATACTTGTCATATATATACGTGAAATCATTAAATATGAGGAATCATAACAATACATAAGATGAAAGCATTCAATTGTGGGGAATCATAACCATACACCTATTATTGCTGTACATAAAACGGCAGTAGAAATGATTTTACCATATATATATATATATATAGGCTTTAATGTTTCTAAAGTGAATGTAGATAAGTTATTTACATTCGCTCCCAAAACGACATCGTTTTGGGTTGAAAAATTAAAAAATTATATTGAAAAAGACTATTATAACCCTGAAATAAATTATAATTACAAAAATACCTTAATTTCCGCCTCAAAACGACGTCGTTTTGGATTCACGGTAGATAAGTTATCTACATTGACTGTAGAAAAAGCGAACCCATATATATATTAGATCTAAGTCGGTTCTATTTTATAAAATATATTATGTTAGGTTGGACCAAATATTCAATATAGGCTGCATAACCTATTTACACGCTTACATCAAATATACTAAATTTCTTTAGAAAATATAAAAAATAAATAAAAATTAGGATAGTGGATGCAATTTTCAATCTATAGTAAAGTTATGATTATTTCACACTAGTGTAAGTTACATTCTTAATTTTATTCATTGATTTTATATATATCTAAATATGGGTCAATTATGAAATTTTTTTGTGGCAGGGGACTTATTTAAATGTAATTATAAATATTTACTATGTTTAGAAAACTTTAGATAATTGGTGCACATTTTGGTGTGATGAACCAGGGATGAGCCTCAACTTTAGAGTTGTGCATGTTTACTAAGAGTGTAAATGAGTCCTACAATCTATTAGGACATTTGGTCCTAGCCTCAAGACTTTGACCTAGGAATTCTATGCGAATGCCTGGAGTGCCGATCATGATAATGCCCACCGCGTATATATATATATATATATATAATGACCCTCACATTTAATTATGGATTTAATACGAAAGGAAAAATTAAAGATATCGTATTTTTGAATAGTGTCGTATACGTGAATAGTGAGAATAGTACTGTAGAGATGAACAGTACCGTATGTATGAATAGTAAAGAAAAGATTTGATAAATAAAAGATGAAATCAATAAATGGTGTGTCTGGTTAACTACTTGGCTTTGAACCATTTTAGTGATATTTGTTTGGATTCCCTATTTTAGGTGCGCCTAAGAGTCTTGTTGAGGATCCTACATCAGAGGAGGCTTGGTAACTCGATTGTTGGGTAGGCCATCTATACAGCTTTGAGAGGTAAGCTCTATGTTTATGGGTCCTACTTTGTGTTCTGCCATAATGTACGGACTGTGGTCAGGTTGTATGACATGTATGAGATATATGATATAGATGCATTCATATAGAGCTATATGATGATGTGTTTACTTTGATATGATTTGATGTGTTTACTTTGATATGTTTTGATATGATTTCTGTAATAATCTCTAGCTATTGATTTGTATATGCACTGATGTCCGCTTGGGGTCCTCCCTTGGGACTGACTGTGTATATATCTGTTATATGTTGAGTTCCGCTTGGGGTCCTCCCTTGGGAACATGTGCACTGATTTCTGCTTGGGGTCCTCTCTTGGGATTGACTGTGTACACCTCTGTTATGTGATGATCTCTGGCCATTGATCCTATGTGCACTGATGTCTGCTTGGGGTCATCCCTCGGGACTGATGGTGTACACCTCTGATATGTTCTGGTTCCGCTTGGGGTCCTCCCATGGGAACACGTACGTAGATTTTTGCTTGGGGTCATCCCTTGGGAATGACTGCGTACGTCTCTGATAAGATATGTTTTGTTCTGATGTGATTATTGTGATGATTTTGTATATGATATTTGTTACGTACGTAGATTTTCGCTTGGGGTCATCCCTTGGGAATGACTGCGTACGTCTCTGATAAGATATGTTTTGTTCTGATGTGATTATTGTGATGATTTTGTATATGATATTTGTTACGTACGTTGATTCCCGTTTGGGGTCATCCCTTGGGAATGACTGCGTACGTCTCTGATAAGATATGTTTTGTTTTGATGTGATTATTGTTTTGATTTTCGTAAATGAATTTATGTGCCTTGATTCTGCTTGGGGTCCTCCCTTTCAAAATACTACGTGCATCTCTGATAAGATATGTATATATGCTCAATTTAGTTATGATATTTGTTATGTGCGTTGATTTCCGCTTGGGGCTCTCCCTTGGGAAATACTGCGTGCATTTTTGATAAGATATGTATATATGCTTGTTCAGCTATGATATTTGCTTATATGATGTTTTATATATTATGTATCTGACTGTCATGCAGGAAGTGAGCCCAGGGTATGTAGAGTTTTCCATAAACCTGGAGCTTACTAAAGATTCGTCTCTAACCCTGTTTGAGGATATGATTTCAGGAACATAGTTAATTGAAGAGCCTTCACGAAACAAAGACACTACCCGTGGCTAGAGGTACTAGTATGAGGATATGAAGTTCTGGGTGGCCGGACGCTACTATTTATTATAGATGTTATTTTTGGAGAATATGTACTGTTGTATAGTGTTCTTTTCATTTTGGGATCATGATGTTTGATCTATTATATAATATATGGTCCGTATATGTTTTGTACATGTGTTCATATTTGATGCATGTACATTTGTGTATTCAGATATGTGCATGTGCTGAAATATGTATGCTGTTAGACATAGTGGCACAGAGCTAGTTATGCATGCACCCATAGATGGGTATATAGTCCTATATAGATATCTGGTATTTCTGAAATCATATATGGTATAAACTGTTTATCAGGAACCTTTGAGAGTAGGATTGGCAAATCCCCAGTTGTTTAATTTACAGAGGTTACTCTCCCCGATTTTTGTCTTCGTCAAATACGAATTAATTTAGGAGAAGTATGCAATGTGAGATATCATGTGAAACGAAATGAAGAATAAGAAAGAAAAAAGTTAGCTTGTAATTTAGTAAGCTAATGCAAGATATTAAGTTAAGTCTTCCGCTGATGCATGTTTTGTATCATATGTATGTTAATTGAACTGGCTCGAGACGGGAATGTTACAATATATGTCACAGGTGAGGGGCAAACAGGTACCTTACAATGCTCAGACACTACAGAGGGTCTTGAAGTCCCAGTTTGATCCCACTATTAGAACCTATCCCTACCAG